ATGGGTTTCAATACTGACAAGTGCAGGGTGCTGCACTTGGGCAGTAGGAACCAGCAGCATACTTATAAGCTGGGAAACTCCCTTCTTGAGAGCACAGTGGCAGAAAGAGATCTTGGAGTCATTATTGACTCCAAGATGAACATGGGCCGACAATGCGAGGTAACGGTCAGTAGGGCTAACCGTACCTTATCATGCATCAACAGCTGCATCTCAACTAGGTGCAACCCCTCTATGCAACACTGGTCAGGCCGCAGCTGGAGTACCGTGTTCAGTTCTGGGTGCTGCACTTCAGGAGGGATGTGGACAACATGGAGAGGGTCCAAAGGAGGGCCACTCACATGATCTGGGGACAGCAGGGCAGGCCCTATAAAGAGAGGCTACAGGACCTTAATCTGTTCAGCCTTATCAAGAGAAGGCTGAGGGGGGACCTAGTGGCCATCTATAAACTCACCAGAGGGGACCAGCAGGGTTTGGGAGAGACCCTGTTTCCCCTAGCGCCCCCCGGGGTAACAGGGAATAACGGCCACAAATTGTTAGACTAGACATCAGAAGGCACTGCTTCACTGTCAGGGCGGCTAGGATCTGGAACCAGCTTCCAAGGGAAGTGGTGCTGGCTCCTACCCTGGGGGTCTTTAAGAGGAGGCTTGATGTCTACCTGGCTGGGGTCATTTGAGCCTGGTTTTCTCTCCTGCCCAGGGCAGGGGGTCGGACTTGATGATCTACAAGGTCCCTTCTGACCCTACTTCTATGAATCTATGGACCAGGCTGAGGCTAAAACAACAACATAATATGAGCCCCTGGGCTATACCTAATACGAGTCATGTAAGCTACACACTGCCTCTTTTAAATGCCAAACTGCTCCTTGAGTATTGACTGCCTCCCAGCCCTGGCTACCACGTACAGTCCTGGAGCCTCATTAGCCCTGTAAACAGTCTGTCCCGCAGCCACAGCGTTCCTGGGTAGTTCTTCCCTGCAGGAGCTCCTTCTCTGGCAGCTTGCCAGAAAACTAACTCCTGCCAACCTCCGCCCTGGGGTTTATAGGTTCCCAGAGCCCTAGCTCCTTCCAGTCAGCTGAGCGGCCTGTATGGTTGGGCCTTTAACCCCTGCCCTCCTGGTACTTGGTGTTCCTAACGACTCTGGTTTTAAAGGGGCTGCCCTGCCTCCTAGTAACAGGGCTAAGGTTCCCTGTTAGAGCAAAGGATTTTCTTTTTAAATCATCAATTGGATGACTAAAGTTTGACAGAAATACTTCTAAGTCATGGGAAAGCTTGCTTGTTTGTTTTTTTAAAACAAAAAACCAAAAAACTGCCTTGTATTATAAAATTAGAATAACCTCCGTCATTTAAAAACAAACACAAAAACCCTTGCTATTTGTTGCCCTGCTAAGACTTTGTTCATTGAGTCTGGGTCTAATTCAAAGTTGATCCATATTTACCTGAAGCACTACCAAGATTTAGTTTCATATCTTGGGTTTTGACTTTCCTTGTATTTGTCCTATTTAGGTAGGCTCAGTAAACAATTCTTCCTTTCTTGGAGCACAAGAACAGCAGAAACCTAATTTTGTGCCCAGATTCATATTACTATGTTTACTCAAATATAAGACAAGATTTTTTTCCTACAATCACATACAAGGATACCACATAAAATATAGTGTCTGTCATTAAACTGCTGCCAAAAGCAGCATGTGCTCAATAATGGAAATCAACTATGATGTTGATTAAAATGTAGCCAACACTGAGCACAGTTATAAAACACATGGTCCATAATTGGAAAACAAGGCTAGGATAGTGAAGCCTATCTGAATAAGATAATATGGTAGTGCCCA